GTGCGACGGAGATGTACATGGATCTTCGTCTGGATTATTGGTGGCCCTGTATAAAGAGGGACGTAGCTTGGTTTGTGGAGAGGTGCGTGACTTGCAGGAAGGTCAAGACTGAGCACCAGAGACCTCACGACAAGTTGCAACCGTTAGATGTCCCACTATGGAAATGGGAGGAAACAACTATGGATTTTATCACGAAGCTTCCCAGGACCGTGCGGGGAGTGGATTCGATTTGGGTCATCCTTGCACGGTTGACCAAGAGTGCACATTTTATTCCTATTCAGGAGAGCATTTCGATCGAATAGTTGGCCAAAATCTATATCAGGGAGGTAGTGGCACGGCACGGGGTGTCATTTTTAGTGATTTCCGACAGGGATGTACGGTTCACTTCCAGGTTCTAGAAGAGGTTTCATGACGAGTTGGGTACTTGTCTGCACTTTAGCACCGCCTTTCACCCACAGACAGATGGTCAGAGTGAGCGGACCATCTAGACTTTAGAGGATATGTTGTCGGCGTGTGTTTTGGACTTCGGAGGTAGTTGGGATACTTACCTTCCACTGACAGAGTTCTCTTATAATAACATCTATCATGTGAGTATCGACCGTCCTCATTTCGAGATGTTTTATGTTGGGGTGAGGTGGGTCAGAGGGTCATGGGAGTACCGAAGTGGTACTCAAGACTATGGAGAGGATCCACCAGGTTCGAAGCAGGCTTCAGACTGCCCAAAGTCGGCAGAAGAGCTATGCCGACAAGCTTCGGGGATATGGTGCTCCTAAAGGTGTCACCTTGGAAGGGAATCATTCGATTCAGGAAGTAGGGCAAGCTGGGCCCCCGGTATAATGGACCCTTCATGGTTGTAGCCTGGGTCGGCAAGGTGGCAGATAGGTTGGATCTATCGGCCGAACTCAGTTAGATTCATAGCACTTTTCACGTTTCCCAGTTACGGAAGTGTCTGGTGGACGACTCGGCAATGGTGTCATTGGAGGATATTTAGGTTGATGATAGCCTAAATTACATCGAGCGGCCAGTGGCGATCCTTGACAGGAAAACAAAGAATATGAGAAACAAGAGAGTGGAACTGTTAAAGGTGTAGTGGCAGCACTGCAAAGGCTCGGAATGGACCTAGGAGCCGGAGGACGAGATGAGGGAGCATTACCCTAAGCTTTTTCAGGACCCAACAGCAGACTTCGAGGATGAAGTCTAAAATAAGTGGGGGAGATTTGTAACACCTGATTCCTGGTACGTAGTTAATTCTAGAAATATTTATATTTTCATTAGGGCTCGACGAGTTGGTGGCCTAACTCGTCGAGTAAAGTCGTGATCCGCAGGAAGTTTAAGTGACCTACTTGATGAGTCGGGAGACTAACTCGGCAAGTAAGTGTCGTTTGAGTGAAACCCTAAATTTGAGGGTTTGCACCCTATTTAAACAACTTATATCACCCCCATCTTAGCCTACATCGTCTCTTATACTTCCAGAAAGCATTATCTTGAAACCTTAGCCTTTTTTGAGTGTTCTAAGGCTATTTTGTGCATTTTGGTGTGGATTGTGAAGCTTGAAAATAGGAAATGAGCTTGGGAGTTCACGTTGGATCTTGGAGATCCATAGATTGTGTTCCATTTCCAGGTCATTTAAGGTAAAAATCTCCTATCTTGATCTTCCATGTAATTAATCATCTTTAGGGCATGGATCTTCATATATTTGGGGCTTTCTAAGCCATTTTCGGGTTGTGAAGTGCATTATGGAGTTATGACTTCATATCTGGGGCCATTGTGGGTCTTTATGGCATAAAGATGCCAACTTTGTTGGCATAAACACCCCATGCACCTTGTAGACCATCTTTTATAGCTTTTTGAGCTAAAGAACCCATGCATGTGCATCAAACTTGAGGCTTTACATGTGAAATGGACATTAGGAGGCCAAATCTATGGTTTTTATGTGTTAAGAACCATTTAAATAGACTATATAGTAATGGTCAAGGATGGACTCGACGAGTCGTTCTTCGGATTCGGCGAGTCGGGGTGTAATGACCGCTAAGTCCCTTCTGTCGAAGGACCAGATGATACTATGGAAGGTCTCTCAGTTGTTTAGGTTCTTAGGGGACTTGGGAATCATGGGACTCGACGAGTGTTAGAACAAAATCGACGATTCCAAGGCAATCTCCCAATCTTTGAAGATGGACTCGACAAGTTGTTCTTACAACTGGGCGAGTCATAGACTGGACACATTCATATGCTAAAGATGAACTCGACGAGTTCAAGGAAGAACTCGGCGAGTCGGATGAAGATTGACTGAAGTGTTGTTGAAGGTGAACTCGTCGTGCTCTTGCTAAACTCGATGAGTGGGGACATGTTTGTAGTATTCTGTGGACGAAGGGACTCGATGAGTTGGCGTACCAACTCGGCGAGTCTGGTCGACCAAAAGATGACTTGACCAGGGTTTTACTTTGACTTTGCCTTTGACCTAGATTCAATTTGAACCTTATAGGGGTTGTGAGTACAAGTTGATAACTTAGAGGGGTTGTTGTGTAGAGATTGAGGAGTCGAGGAGAGCCGACTTTCACACCGAGGATAGTGCCGACACTACACTACTTGGAGGTGAGTTTCCTTCTAGTAAGGGTGGGTCTACGGCCACAATGCCGACCCACCAGCAAGGGCGTAGTGTAGATGGTTGTCTTTGTGATAATCATCTAGGATTGATGTGTGATATGATTACTATGCTTGATATGATCATTGTATTTGATATGCTTTTTGTGATTGATATGTATTAGTAATAGCAGGGGTTGAATAGTCCCCAGATACCGATTGAAAGATACCGAAGGGGAGGGTAGCTCCCGGTTACCGTTTGAAAGATACAAAAGGGGAGGGTAGTTCGCAGTTATCGGTTGAAAGATACCGAATAGGAGGGTAGTTCCCATTGAAAGATACCGACGATTATGTATTATTTGGTATGGGTATGATGGGGGAACTCACTAAGCTTTGTGCTTACACTTTCAGTTTTGGTTTCAGATACCTCTTCGTCTAAGGGGAAGGAGTCAGCGGTGTAGCAGCACATCACACACACTCATATGGATTCCGCGTGGAGATTTCTGGCATTGTACTCTGATTTTTATTACTTTTGATGATATGGTTTTCAGACACGTTTTTATGATTTTTATAAATTGATATGACATTGGCAATGTTTGGTAAACTATGTTATGAATCTCGTAATTAAAAAAAAATGAAATTTATGGCCTTGAAAATTGGGATGTTACAGTAGAAGGCATAAAATTATTTATGTAGCTTTCTAGAGATCATAAGTTTAATTTCGCATATTGTTTCTATTTTTAGGTCATCATTAAGAAGTCGGTGTTGGAAGAAGAAATGGGAATTCTAGCATGAATAAATTATCGAATGGGTTTTTGAATACTTTTGAACAATTGTACTTTATATGAATGTTTTTATTTTTCAATTTTATTTGGATGTTAATGACTTTATGACTCTGTTAAAAAGCTTTTTTGGATGTTAATGACTTTAATCACTTTATGACTTTCTGTTGAAAAAAACTTTATTTTTTTTAAAATGTGTTGCTTATTTATTAATTGGGTTATACATGTTAGGTTCGACTCATTGACCTGTGAACCCACGAAATCATATACTTAAACAAGTTACCGGCCAACCCATATATTATATGGGTTGGGTTGAGTTAATGTTTTCTAACCCGCCAACCCGAATCAGATTGCTAGGCCTAAACTCGATAACCTCAAATCCGTCGGTAACGGCCATCTCCGACGGAATACTGACAGATTTGTCCATCAGAAGTTATCCCTTTTTCTAGTTGTGCGCCATACGAGGAAATTGGTGGTCAGAATCCTAGGTTTATTTGTGTTATTTACTCAACCGAAACCAAAGTGAGTTCATGTATCTTAGCATTGAGTAGATTTCAATAATTTATATTCAGTACATGTGGAAAGACCATGATGTTGCGCAGCTTTTTTTGTTCCAAGTGGATATACAAAAACAAGACATGCTAGAAGAGAATGTAATGAAAAACAATAAAGCAAAGGCTAGTTATGAACCGGTTATGAAAGATTCTTTGCTTTGTTGTGAAATCAGCCTAAAATTAATGTACTCTGAAGCAGCTTCTGATTCAATACCCAACACATTTTTCTTTTTCCATTCAAGGCAGGATCTCCGAATCAAAACCAAGTCACAAACTGCAAGAAAATTTGTAATGTGATACTGATGTTTAACGAACTACCAAGTTGTTCTTTGAGAAGTAATGTAAAGCTTCAGCTCTTACTTTTTTCATATAGAATATACATATGTCGGTTTTGAAACACCAGCCTAGCACAAAATCATATGCTTTCTGTCTATGCTAGGGTGCTTTCATTTTTTATATATTGATTGATTTCAAATACTGATGTATCTCACGATGCTGGTGTTCTAACTGGATAACTTCTTGTATTATATATGTCTTCTCTTTACCGAATCATTGTTTTACAGCTTCAGCTGAATCAACCCATTCCCTACTGAGACAAATTGGACTTATGCATTTAGATGTTCTTCAAAAGCTACTTCTTCCCTCCGAAAAGTCATCCATTTCCAAACTCCCACCTGTTAGTATCAGTCTCTGATATTTCACAAATCAAACTACATGCACCACTAAAAAAGAATGTGCAAGCAATTATTCATTCAACATATTGTCATTATTCATTCAACATCAATCTTACACGGACATACACAAACCAAACTGAGCTAACCAAAATATGCATTGATACATTGCCAAAGAGCATACACCCAATTGAAATCAAGGAAACCAGTACAATGATACAAGTAAATAAGCGGATTACGATAAAGATAGAACATCTGGATTGAAAATTGGAAGACAAATAAGAAAAATAGAAACATACAAAAAAACAAAAGATGAGATTTTACATTTAAACAACATTTATATTACAAATGTCATACAATGATACAAATATAACATTCAAATACTAGTTGATAATTACTTGCATCCAAAGGATCTATGCAGCTTCTCTTCTTCTCTTTATCTTGGAAACTCTTACCACAACTGCAACATATATCTTCTCTATGGTCTCCTCAGCAAACATAAAAAGCTTCCTTCTCCACTGCTTCTTGAACAACAAAACTCCAATAATACCCCAGAATCCTGTCACAAAACCACTCATTATGTCCGCATAAAACCACACCTTCATCCGCTCATCACCTTCTTCATATATCTTCTTGATTGTTGTCATCGAATCTTCATGATTAGAGCAATTGTTTGGCAATGGAGCTCCACATAGGTCTTTGTTCCCAGCATATACTGATGGATCCGTAAAGGTCTGCAACTGATTTCCTGTTGGAATTGGTCCCGACAAGTTGTTGTGTGACAAATTCAAATGGCTCAAAAAGTTCAAAGCTGCCATGCTTGGAGGGATCGTTCCAATCAACTTGTTGTTTGAGAAATCGAGGGATTCTAATTTCCTCATGTTTCCAATGCTGTCTGGAATACGCCCACTGAGATGATTATTAGACAAATTGAGACCCATCAACATAGAAAGTGCAGTTAGCTCCAATGGTATTTCTCCAACAAGTTTATTGCTTGAGAGGTCCATGTTAAAAACTATAGTCCAACTCCTTCCATATTCAAGGTCAACACCTTTCATGACCTGAATCACCTTCTCATCATAACGGAGTTCATTATCAGGTGGTTGCATACTGCTAACCATTGCATTCAACTGTCTAAAACAATGAGGGATGGTTCCCATTAAGTTGTTTTGTGCAACGTCCAAAATTTGAAGATTTGAATTTCTACACAAAGAACTAGAAATTCTTCCTGTAAAATTATTGTTGTGTAGCCTAAGGACCATCAAAAACCTAAGTTCTCCAATACATTCAGGTATGTATCCAGAAAGCTTATTATCACCCAAATCTAAGACCCTTAATTCTCGTAATTTCCCCAATTCTCGAGGAAGTTCACCAATAAAGTTATTGTCGTTCAAACCTAACCACATTAATGATGAAGAAATGAGAGCTATAGAACCTGGGATGACGCCAGACAACTCATTTGAACTAAATCTCATGAAATACAAGTTTTTCAGATTCCCGAGACACTTGGGAATTTTTCCTGTTAATCTATTCCCTAAAAGATCAAGAAGTTGTAAATATGTCCATCTGCACAATGACCTTGGAATTGACTCGTTGAAAAGGTTATATTCCATATATAATGCTTTCAAAGGTCCATCATACCCTAACTCATTAAAATCTCCCCCATTAGGAAGGTTTGTCAAAGGTCCGTTGAGTTTGTTGTGAGAGAGATCCAAGAAAGAAATGATGGGCATCCTCCGCAACCATGTGGGTAGAGGTCCCGAAATTGTAGCATTAGAGAGCACTAACCAGTTGAGATTCCTTTGATTTCGAAGCCACTGTGGAAATCCATTTGCAATATTGCAAGAACTAAGATTAAGATATATTAATCCGAATGGAGGTATCCACTCATGTGAAACATTGAATATCAACTTAGTGTTAGAAGAAGTATCCAGGTGCTTCAACATCGAAAGATTCGAAAAATGGGCTTCAAAAACTACTCCTTCTAAACAGTTGTTGGAGATATCTAGAAAATTGAGTTTGGCAAGTTGTCCAACAGAAACTGGAATGGTTCCATTTAGCAAATTTGAAGACAATGAAATAAATTGTAATGATAGAAGCCTTCCTATAGATGTTGGGATGGGACCTGTTAACCGATTGAATTTCATATTCAAATCTGTTAAAGCTATTAATTTTCCAAGTGACTCTGGAATCGAACCATTCAATTGATTAAAAGAAATGTCAATTTTGGAAAGTTTCACAGGGAATGTAGGAATGGGGCCCGTTAACTGATTGAATGCTAGATTCATTTGTGTTAAAAATGTTAATTTTCCAAAAGAATCTGGAATTGAACCATTCAATTTATTGAAAGAAAGGGCAAGTTTTACAAGTTTCCCACAGAATCTTGGAATGGAGCCTGTTAACTGATTGGATTCTAGATTTAAATCTGTTAACGCAGTTAATTTTTCAAAGGATTCTGGAATCGAATCATTCAATTGGTTAAAAGAAAGGTCAAGTTTGGAAAGTTTACCAAGGAATATCGGAATGGAGCCGGTTAAATGGTTATCAGATAGATCTAACACTTCTAAAAATCTTAATCCTCCAAGAGATTCAGGGATTGAACCTGTTAATTCACTGACTGAAAGATCTATGTCTCTTAAATTGGCAAATCTTCCAAGTGGTTCTGGAATTGTACCATTTAAACTCCCATGTAAATCCAACCTCTCCAAAGCATATTGGGCACATTCTGATATGTTCATTAGTGATTCGATCATTTCTATTTCAAAATGATTGAATGATGCACTCAATTGTTTCAGGTGACACCATCTCCAGATTCCAAGATGCTCAATCTTCTTAAAACTGTTAGCAGAAAGATCAAGCTCTAGAAGACTAGGCATAATTGGAACCGATGAATATATAATGTTCCACGAAAGGTCAAGGACTCTTAGGGAACTCATGTTTGTTAAAACAGACGGAGATATGCTGTCAATTCGATTCATGCTAAGATCCAGGTGTTGGATATTAGAATGTGTACTGGAATTAAGATGAGGTGAAGAAAGAAACGTCTTATCGAGCCTACACTGTGACAATAACAGCACTGATAAAGAAGGGTTTGTGTTTAGCAAGTTTCCAAAGTTCCACGCCAAACTTGGATAAAAGTGAGAAAGATCCAGGAATGTTAGGGATGTCAAATTTTGCAAAAAGCCAGGGAGTGGACCTATGAAATAATTGAAGCCAAGATCCAAGTATTTGATGCTAGGAAGTATTCCAGTCGAATTAAGAAAGGGTCCAAGATCAGTGTTGGAAAGTTTACATCCCCACAAGTTTAACTCTTTTAGCAAAGGGTTAGTGTAAAGAATGTCCCAGTTTTGTGCTCCCCCAAGATCGACTAAACTCAAAACGAGATGCTCGAGTGACAAAAGGCCAAGAGTCCATGCCATGTCATCTGCCATCAGCTCTTCATTTACACTGAGATCAAGAACTTTCAAATTAGAAAGATTCCCAAGGTGAGAAGGAATAATACCTTGAAAACCAGAATGAGAGAGATTGAGGTAGCTCAGCAGTTTGAAGGATCCAATGAACTTTGGGATCCGGCTTCCTCTAAAATCATTCCCACTCAAGTCCAAATATTTTAAATTCCTCAGTTGTGCCAAAGAAGAGTTCACCTCATTACCAACTAAAAAGCCTCCTCTGAGATGAAGGCTTTCAACGGTTCTAGTAAGATTGTCACACTGGATTCCTTCCCACAAGCAACAGTCATTGCCAACCCATGATGACAACATTCCAGAAGGGTCTTTGACATGGTGTTTGAAGTTGAGAAGAGCAAGTTTCTCTTGCTGGGAGCAAAAGACACTCATATCCCCAACACCAAAACAAGTATATGTGGTTGCAACCAAAAAAACATATATGAAAATGAGAAGCAGCCCGAAATTCATTGGTTTCCCCATTATCAACCCCAACTAAGCTTAATCTATAAAAAGATTGAGATGGACAGATGAGTTGTTATAATGAAGCAACTAGTTTATTTACAAATTAATAAATCAGGAGCAATTTATTGCCATGGAAGAGTTGGAAGTCAATGGTGGAAGGCATGAAAGTTAGTGGAAATGTATAAGTTGATGGGTTTTCATATTTGGTGATGTACTATTCATTCCACTAAAATCACCTTTTTTTTTTATTAAAAGAATATTATTTTAAGTGGTTTGTTTATTTTTATAATTATTATATTATAACTTATAATATTAAAATACGTTTTTAGAGAGTAGTTGGAGATAAAAAGAGTTTGGTATAAATTTTACATAGAAATGGTGCAATGTTTTAGTGTTAGGGTGGTTATAGTTATAATTCCATTCTGAATCCTCCCACTAAAATACAATGATAGTTAGTGGATATGTATAGTTGGTGAGTTTTCATGATAATGTTTTGAGAATTTCAAAAACTAAGAAATCAAAAGAACATCAAGTATAGAGTTGGTGGGTATAATGGGTAATCATTATCAGAAAATAAAGAAGGGCACTTAAGACATTTAACATATATACATTATATAACCTTTGACGTATTTTATAAATAAAAGGATGGATTATACCATCCCATATCCTAACAATCAAACAGATGATTAAGGAGTATTTTTGAAAAAGAAAATATGCTTCCAATATTTTTTTGTTGTAAAAAATGGTGTTCAATTGGAGATGAATCACTATTTGCATCACCTTTTTGGTGTGAAAAATGATTTTAGGGTTGGAGATGTTATAAATTACATGCAATATGCATTTCCTTATTTGTTAATTTTTATTTTATTAAACTGTGGTACATACAAGACATTGTGTTTCTTAAGTCACAAGGTTTACACAAAGCGTAGTATCCACTTGAGATAGTGAAAATTAGACAAAGCTCACCCGTCATATGGTTAGGAGGATAACGTTGGTTGACTTGGATAGTTTGTCTTATAAATCTGGAACTCATGCATACGAAATGACCTAAAGAAAAAAAAGTAATAAAGTAAAGAGCCAGGTTAGTCATGACATAATATAATATGAAAAATCTTAAAACACATAATAAAAAAGGGGATGAACAAGAAAAAAACTTAAAACTAAAAAACAGAGAAAGCGTCATAACCTAAGTAATAATGAATATAGGAATGTTTTTTGATGTTGCCTAGTTGAGCCAATCTTAATATAATTATAAACAAGAACCTACAAAATGAGTATGTTTTGGATAGCTAAAAATTTGCGTATTACCAACAGTCACATCTTTTCTTTAACCTAGTACTAAATCTTTCACATTAAGAGATAGCCATTTACAAGTTATTAATTTAAATAAAACTATCGCTGCATCTTCAAACTCACATCAGTAGTTTTGTTATTCGGTTTAGGTGAAACTAGGGGGCGATCTAATGCATGCCTACAAGATGCAACATCTGTGTTGATACTTGATATTTACAGAAAGTAGATTGAATGAGAGACTGCTTTTCGTCATTTTCCATGAAAATTGCACTTTATATAATGAAACTTTTTTGTCTAATACACACAGCTATAATGACATTTACGTATAGAAAATTATTTTAAAGGCAATGCTTTTCCAAAATGAAAATAAACGTTAACCTACAAATTTATGAAAGGGGTCAAGTTATAAAAACCAGATTACCTTTGATAAAGCTTTATTGACTCAAAGATGTTCTTGAAGATTCTCAAATGACACAAACATCATGTGTGTTATGATAACAAATCCTACTACACAAACTGGAACATGTTTTATTTCTTACAAGTATGATGGTATGCCTTGGATAGGATTTTGTGAAAAAAACTAGAAATCTGGAAATGGAACCTTGCTTTTGATAGTGAGTTTAAGCCTCAATTTCTACAAGGCAAAATGAATTATAAGCCCAACGAAGTTTTCAAACCGTTCAAAAAACCCCAATTATGTTTTGTCTGTTCAAGAAAACCAACGAACTTAATCTTTTTTCTAAAAAAGCCCAACTAACTTACATTTCTCATTTAAGGTCAACCGACTAATGAAAGTCAACGAATGACATGGCTGACGACGTGTAATTAAATATTGGAAAATGATGTAAGACCAACGAAGTTTCAAAAACGTTCAAAAAACCTCAATCATGTTTTGTTTGTTGAAAAAAATCCAACGAACTTGCGCTTTTGTTCAATTTTCATCAGAGGCAACCAGATTCAGTAGGTATACAACTAGTTGGCAAATGACATGACATTATATTTAATGACATGAAATAAACAAATTAGAATTGCCCTTTATATATCGATTTAGGGCTTGGAGAAGAGAAAAGCGAACGGCGTCTGTGTTCGATCTCTTGTAATACCTACTTCTTATTCTTCCTCTCAATCGTTGATGTCCAACTCAAGATCTACAAAGAAGATATTTGATGATGCAAAATCTAGCTTGTGGATAAAGACGCCCTTTTTGGATTTGGACATCTAGAATAGAGGATCATCCAAAGATAATGTTTAGGGTTTGTTCGAACAAATGGGTAAGTATAATTGCAAGCTTTATCATGTCCATTTTAATAAGTTTTTGTTTTTGAAAGAAACCAAACAAATAGATAGAATATGGACATGATAAAGCTTTCAGTTACACTTACATATCTATCCGAACAAGCCCTAAACTTTGTTCGAACAAGCCCAAAACTCTTTTTCACTTGATGATCCTCCGTTCTAGAATTGAGGTTTTTCGAACGGTTTTGAAACTTCTTTGGTCTTACAAGTCATTTTCCAATATTTAATTACACGTCATAAGCCATGTCATCATTGACTTTCAATAGCCGGTTGACCCTAAATGAGAAGTGAACGAAAGTGTAAGTTTGTTAGGCTTTTTAGAAAAAATGTTAAGTTCGTTGGTTTTCCTGAACAGACAAAACATAATTGGGTTTTTTGAACGGTTTGAAAACTTTGTTGGGCTTATAAGTCATTTTCCCTTTCTACAAAGCGAATACAAAATCAGGAAATGCGTACAAGTAACCTATGATATAGTAAAACCCTATTCTATAAATATATATATCTAACAGATTTCATCACATAAAAGACACAATATCTATCAGATATGGTATGCTTAGGAACTAGCATGGAAAGCTCTTGGTACATATGTTTACATAACATGTGTGTTTCAAGGATAGGAGAGTGAGGGTGCAACACAATATCATGGCTCATTTTATTCAAAGACAAGTTGAAGATCTTCCACCAATTGTTGCAGTGAAAAATACCATAAGAGAATAAACAAGTTTCACATGAAATGAGGCATACTTATGATATCTTCAAAGAAGGCAAAACAGCCAGGCAGCACTAGATATAATAAATTTGACAACAAATTCTCAGAAATGGATTTTCACAAAATAGCACACTTAGGTTCCAGAATGACACCTTTCCTCATGAACAATTCAAGCAAAGTATGTTTTTGTACAAATAAAAGCTTTCTAGGTGTCTCAGCATGAATGCAACATCGGTATCAAAATTATGAAAACAAGCAAAAAGAATAAGAATAGGCAACCATACAGCTTCAAGTTACTGCTTTAAATCATCAAATATGTAAATGGAAGCTTATGCTAATCATCAAACTGATCATCAAGCTCAGTAGATTGCTTTTTTCGTTCTTTTCTTTGTGATCCCATTCATCTAACCAAACCAGAGCAACATCTTGTTTGGTTAGAAGAAAGTGATGATCCACAAAGAAATACATTATAAAATAATAAATGAAGAGAAACCTTGTAAGCCAAGTAGTGAAATAGAAAATTTGTAGACACAAGCTTTTGTTCCTTTTGGTTTTCATAGGACTTATAATGTCTTCGACCACAAATTTTCATTCAACGACTTTGAAGTCTACACAAAACTATAAACTTGACTTTGACATTTGATGACTTATGAACTAACTTGCAAAAAAAAAAGTTTATGATAATTTGACTTTAACAAGGTTAATGATGTTTTAAGCCCAGTACATGTTCAGTAACGTTAGATCTTTCATATTCTATTAAAGGGCTAAAAGGACCAACTAGAAACTTACATTAGTTCATTTCTCACTAGCTAGAGGCAATATGTACTTTTTATGCACAATATTAGCATATGTTTATTTATGTTTTACAAGTTCCATTATGTTAAGCATGATATGAACAGTCAATTCATTGAAAAAATAGAAATAATCCCCAATGTTATAATCATGTCATTTGGCTGTATCATAACTCACATTCCTTATGAAAAGATTGAAAGCCCCCAGCACTGAGATTTCTATCTATCAACCTTGTAACAATGTAATGTAAAATACTTTACACTTCATTAATTAACATTATCTAAGTCACTTTAATCTCCATTACTCAATTGAATGGAGAGATTCCAGGAAGTTGCCAAAATTAGGTCGCCAAACACAATCTCAACTCAACTTTATTTTAAGTTAATTACATGCCCTGATTTAGCTTACATTCCAACAAATAATCATCTTAAAAAACCCATCAATTTAACACAACTTCTAACAATTTTACAGATATAATCAACATACCTTCACTAATGCGGCTCTGAGTTCAACCCAGAATGATTACTCTTCAGTATTAGAAGTCGAACATATTAATTGATATACAGTGATCAATTCACGAGCAGGGGTGGATCCAAGGGGATCTCGGGGTAGCCCGGGATACCCCCTCAAAAATTTTTCGGTAGTGTAATTTTTGTTTACGTATCCCTCAAAAAAAAATCGGTATAATGTATATATACGCATCCCCTCCACTTATAAACACAAACAAACAGTTGGTTTGCTGGTTAAGGCGTTGGCTTATTCAAGCAAAGGTCTTGAGTTCTATTCTTGCTTCATACATATTCTTTGTTTATTTTTGTTTTATTTTTCCAGCTATTCT